AACGCATGCACAATCGGCCGGGAATATGCCGCCCGTGTATCGTTTTAAGAAACAAAATACTGAAAATCAAGCAGCAGCTTCTCAGGTAGCCAAATTTAGATGGGCGCCGACAGGCAATGCATGCGTGCCAATTAGGCAATGAACCTAGACCTTAAATAGTAGAGAGATTCTTTCAAGATTAACGCAATAAAGTCGACATACACACACGGACACAGTCATGGTCATAGCTAGTCCCACACACTTCAGCCCTATCCTGCCAGTTGTATATATAATTGTCTTCACAATATCGACATCTTCGTGTCGCCCTTCCTCTCCCTTAATCTGAATACATACAGCACTGTATCACCACATCTTAATTTACACCATCTTCTTCCTGAAGTTTCTGTTTAATTTCTACTGAAATCATTCTCCTCACACACACATATATAGCATCAAAAGCTTGCTTTCGAGAAAGCATGTACTAAAAGGCGAGGAGAGAATCAAGAAAATTATATAGCAGTACTGCTTGTCAAGGAAAAATATGGCTAACACTGGCCCGGTGAGGTTCGAGAGGGTAGCTGCAGCTTTCAACGAGGCATCTCGGGTTATTAGGCTTTACGAGAGTGGTAAGAGCGAGCACTTCTCTCCCGACAACAGTTCTGCTGATCTTGTCAATTCTTTTATTGAAACAGAATATAGGAATCAATTTGGAGGTACCGGAGGAGATCAAAACAAGGGTCATCGAGATCGTCTTGAAGACTCATCGGATTGCTCTTATTCTGAAAACAAAGAAAGGTTAGTGAATTTGCTGAATACCATAGATGACGTGAGAGAAAAGATTTGCCAAGAGATAGGGTTCATAGGAGAAAGATCATCCCAAAGCTTTAAGCATAGATTGATGTCTCGTTTACGTGACCGCGGCTTTGATGCTGGTGAGTGCATTTTCCCTATCTAGTATACACAAACAAACAAATTTATGTTTTTCCTTCTCGATCTGTCTTTCTATTAATTCGTTCTTTCTCTTACCTCTTATTTCTGCTAAAGGCATTTTGTGCTGTTGCGAAGAGAAAAGACATCAAATTGATGTTATCTTACTTGTTTTTTCTCGAGTCAAAACTATATATATATAAAAAAACCCTGCAATACCAAAAAAAAGATGCCTTAATTTGCTTAGATAACTTGTTTTATCTCATATGATACATACCATTTTTTTAAATTTTTTTTAATGAACATACGAATTATTTGAATATGTATGTAAATACAATTTTGCTCCAATGTCGGATGCCGACACTTATCTTGAATTGGCAATTTCATTTATTAACCATTTTGACCAATCAAAATTAAAATGTTGTAGCAATGTTACTTATTTGTCATCTAATTTTGTTCGCAATCTGTCCTTGTAAAGGTCTTTGCAAATCACGGTGGGAGAAATTTGGGAGGCATCCAGCAGGAGATTATGAGTATGTGGATGTGAATGTTAGTGGAAATCGCTACATTGTTGAGGTGTTTTTCGCAGGAGAGTTCGAAATTGCTCGTCCCACCAGTCGTTACGCTGAATTGCTTGATGTTTTCCCCCGAGTGTACGTTGGGACGCCTGAGGATGTTAAGCAGATTGTGAGATTAATGTGCAATGCAATGAGAGAATCCATGAAAGCCGTGGGAATGCACGTGCCACCTTGGAGGAGAGAGGGGTACTTGCAAGCAAAGTGGTTTGGTCATTACAAGCGGACAACATTAAATGAAGTGTCAACTAGAACGTCGGGATCGAAGTCCGATCACGAGGGCACTCCTGCAAAACGAGCTACTGGGTATGAGACTTTGCCAGTCAGAGTTTATTACTGCAGAGATGATTTCGCAAGTAGGGTGGACTGGGAGTTAGCCATTTGACTGCTGCATTCAGAAGCAATGGCATAGACAGGTGATCAACTGATCATGATCGTTGCTAATTTAATTTCCAGAAGAGTGCTTTGGTAGCTACCAATAGCTAGCCAAAGGCCAAGGCCAAGGGTAAATTAAGCAGTGTAGAAGGAAATAATAGCATTTGTTTCTTCGGGTTGTACTTTTGATGATTTAGTTTTGTAACTACCTCCCATTTGGGAATCTTAAAGGGAGCAATTTTGCTTCGAAAGCGATAAAGACAAGGGAAGGCACTTAAGTTTGGCGTTCTGCTAGTATTAAAAACATCCAAATTGAGGTTTGGCATAAATCTCCACAGATATCTCCATCTTCTTGAAAGCACACTGGCAACTGCTGCTGCTTCAACTGTCTATAATGATAATATGAACGAGAATTTCATTTGGAAAATATGCACATAAGACAACTGAGCTTCACACCCCATATGAAATTAACATGGTTTATATCCTCAAACAGTGCAGGACGTGTCAGAAACAAAATCCCAGATGAAATTGAAATAAAAGGCACTTCCTTTCTCAGTGAAAACGTGAAGAAAAATCAGAATTTATAAACCCATAAAAAATTAAAGCAGCTTTAGTTAATAAAACAAATAATTAAAACACAAAATCACAATAAACAATCAAATTTCAACTATTTAACCATTATAAGAAGAATGAATAAACACCCATAGTCCTCCTCTTTTTAAAAAAAAATACCTCCTTTCCCGAACTTACTCCCCTTCCTTCTCTTTCATACTCGGTATAAACCATCTATCATGTTAAGTAAACAACTCCTTCCCCCTCACTTCCAATGGACAACAATCTCGTGCCGATTCTAACATCAAAAAACAACCCCCACTTTCCTAAAGCTCCCTTTACTGGTTCTACTACCTCCGCTTCCCTGCAAACAGAAAGAGGAAGGCAAGACTAAAAGAGGGATAGGAGTTTCATGTTTCAATGCTGCCCCCTCTGCTCTGAATAAAAAGAAGGTTAAGGCCAAGAGAGAGAGAGAGAGAGAGAGAGAGAGGTGATTCTAGACGGCTCACCACATAATTTGAGATAGAGGGAAAAAATAAAAAAAGACTTGTAAACAAAAGTGGGAAAAACAGTGTTGTGTGAGTGGGTATACAGTGTTTTTCCCACACCAATTGTTTTTTTTCTGTAATTTAATGCTGCAATTATAACTGTTATGGAAGTGAAAAGTAAGCAGCAGGTTAGAAAGGCAAACATCTATGGCTCTTGTCTATCGCTTGACTCTTTCTTTCTTCCATCAGTCCTTTTTCCTAACCCTCTGGAGCTAGGAGTCCAGGCAAAGCAGCTGGGCGGTAGAGGCACGGGCAGGAGTTTCAGTTGACCGAGCGGATCCATAAGCACCTGTGGCAAAGACAGTGGCATGCTTTCCAAGTCAAGAGCTAGCATCGGAGGCAAAGGTTGGGAAGGCGCGGGTACAAAACCATGGAGATTATTTTGCCAGCAAGGTTGGATTGAAAGAAAGCCTGCAGCCAAAATAGGTTCTCGTCACAGCAGTAATAAATCTTGCTTCTCAGGGGCATCTCAAGGATCGGGTAGTGCTTCCTCTCAGGTTCGGCAGCCACTACCTCACCTCCCACGCCCATCTTCATCAGCTCCTTCTGACTCTCGTTCCTGATCTCCATGCCAAATCTACAAGCGATATCAGGCCTTGGATTGCTTTAACCGCAGTAATTACTCTTTTTAAGGAATCATCCTCCCATTGACTTAGCTGTCATGGTTGCAGAAGCCAATACAAACTCTTTTAAATTAATATCAATAGTACGCGAACAATGGTGCTAATATGCATGTTACCTAAACTATTGCTAATCCAGTTTCTCTTCTGTGGGCGTAGATAACGGCACATGTTTGCATATATCTCATGCAATGTTTCTATTAAAACCCTTTCTTCTACTACTCCTATCTTAAATAATATTGTTTATTGTACTCAAGTACCAGCTTATCTCCTCTTTATTAATAAATTCTGTCAAGATAATAATATTCTTTTTAAACTTATTGGTTCTGATTTTTTTATTAAGAATATTTTGTTGGAAAACACGTTTTTGACCGGACTAAATAATAATAAATTATATCCTATCAATCTTTGTTAATTATTTATTTCACCATATTATACCCTTACAATAATTGTTAGCGTTAAAACTCCTATTTTCATTTGGCAATGTCGTCTAGACCATTTTTTTTATACTCTTTTTTGTGTTATTTTTAAATTTTCTCTTCCAAATAGTGATTTCGTAAATAAAACATCAGTTTGTACATCTTGTTAATTAGACAAGTCTAAATAATTGATCCTTTTTTGATTCATCAAGAGAATGCACTGCTCTCTTAAAAATAATTCACTTTGATGTCTAGTCCACTTCGCACCTTTCTTGAATGATTGTTGTTATTATGTTATTTTTATTTATAATTTTTCTCGTTTTTATTAGATGTTTTCTATTTCAAATAAGTCTGATATTTATTCTATATTTGTTAAATTCAAGCTTTTAGTAGAGCAACAATATCAATTCACAATTCAACAATTTTAAAGTGATAATAATGGTGAATATTGTTCCACCATCTTTAAATATTTTTTAAGGGATAATGAAATTTTTCATCGACTATCATGTCCTCGCACTTCTCAATAAAATAGTCTCGCTAAGAGGAAACATCATCATGTTATAAATATGGGATTTACTCTTCTAGCTCAATCAGGTTTATCGAAGAAATTTTGGGTTGATGCTTTTCTCATCGCTATCTTCATCATTAATCGACTTCCTACTAAAATTCTTAATTATGTTTCACCATATGAATGTCTTTTTCATCTTCCTTCAGACTTCACATATTTTCAAGCATTTGGATGTCAATGTTTTTCATGTCTTCGTCCTTACACAAATGATAAATTATCATATCGTAGCATGCCTTGCATTTTCATTGGTTATAGCTCCAATCATAAAGGATTTCAGTGTTTTGATCCTTCCTTCAGACGTACCTATATCTTTCGAAATGTGATTTTTGATGAAGAGTAATTTCCTGCACACTTCATCATCACATATCCTGCCAACTGCATCTCCTTCTTAGGTAAGTCTCCAAGTTTGTTCTTCACATATTTTCTCCTCATCCTTTAATTTTTCTCCTCCCCCAGCAACTTCCTTACCTACCCAGGTTCTTGCTGACCTTACCTTACATGATATTCATACTGTTCCAGCTGTTAATTCAAATGAATTCCATCTTTACTCCTCTTTCCCATCTCTCCATTCTGGCTAATCTTTTTCTAGATCCATTTCCATGCCTAGTGCATCAACTCTCAATCCTTCTTTTAACCACCACCACAATGCCATCCTTAACCTCCAAAATGGTGCCCTGTCTTTCACAAAAATAATCACTAGATCACAGACTGATCATCATAAGCCTTATGAGTTTCTTGATTTTCATTTATATTCCACTCATCACCCCCTTTAAGCTTTGCATGCAGGTCTAGTTTGTGTTGAGCCCTGTTCCTACACTCAAGTATCATCTATACCTAAGTGCGTGCTGTAATGGACAGTGAATTTCATTCTTTGTTACAGAATGACACATGGTCACTATGTTCTCATCCCCCTAGTAAGAATTTGGTTCCATGTAAATGGGTTTTTAAACACAAACAATGATTTGACAACAGTGTTAAACGTTATAAGGCTAGGTTAGTCGCTGTGGGATATATAGAAAAAAGTGTTGTTGATTTTCTTAACACATTGAGCCCAGTCATCAAACTTTTTGTTGTCCAAATGGTTCTTGCCATCGCTATTCCTTTTAATTAGGATATGCATCAATTTGATGTCTCTAACACCTTCCTTCATGTTGTGTTAGAAAAGGAAATTTATATGACACAACATAAAGAATTTGTTGATCCTGCACACCCCCGATTCATTTGTAAGCTTCATAAATCTTTTTACGGGTTGAAATAAGCTCCTCGTGCCTGGTTTAATTGACTGTTCACTGCACTTTTGATCTTGTTTTTCAAAGTTCACAAATTGATCCCTCATTATTTATCTGTCATCGTGACAATATCCATGTATTCTTTTTAGTTTACGTGGTTGACATTTTGGTTACCTCAAATGATCAAGATTTTATTACCACTCTTATATCTCAATTACAACTTGAGTTTGCTATGAAGGATCTTAGCCAGTTGACATATTTTCTGGGAATTGAGGCCATACACAATTCTTCAGGGTTACATCTTTGACAAACCAGGTATATAATTGATCTTCTAGATAGTGTGCAACTCACTAGTATTCGTTCATACTGTGCACCTTGTGTCTCTGGGTCTAAGTTATCCAAGTTTGATGGAGAAAGTATTTCAGACCCATCTGAATATAGGCAAACAGTAGGGGCTTTACAGTATGTAACTCTCACATGCCCTGACATTGCATACTCAGTAAATCAACTCTGTCAATATATGCAAGCACCTACTTTTGCTCACTAGACAATAGCCAAACGCGTGCTATAATATTTAAAACACACATTTGATTATAGTCTCTTCCATAAACCTGGTTCCTTTGAAATCAATGTCTATTGTGACTTTAATTGGGTCGGTGATCTTGATGATAGACACTCCACCTATGGCTATGGTGTTTTTATTGAGTCCAATCTCATATCTTGGTCTGCTAAGAAACAACCTATAGTGTCAAAATCCAGTACTGAAGCTGAATACATGTGTTTGGCTCTAGTTACAGCTGAGGTGTATTGGCTAAGAATGTTGTTATGTGAGTTGCAGGTTTCTCTTGCTTCAGCTCTAATCGTATGATGTGACAATATAAGTGCCTTAACTCTTGCCTCCAATCCTGCTTTCCATACCCAATCAAAACACATTGAAGAGGATTACCACTTTGTTAGAAAAATAGTGGCCAATAAAGATATACTACTTCAATATATTCCCACCTCTCTACAACCTGTAGATATTTTTATCAAGAGATACAAGGTTGATTGGTTCTGTTACCTCTAGGATAAATTTTCTGAGACAAATGTCCCTGCCAATTTACGGGGGAATGATAAGGATAAAGTTCACAATACTAAGATTGACGATAAACATTGATATCTGTTACCTAGTGTTTCATTGTTTCTAGTTTTCTATTTATTCATGTCTCTGCAAATGAATCCTTTTGTAACTACAACTCTTATAAAGAGTTTCCATTGTAACAGACTTTACGTGTATATATATGGTTGAGAAAACACAGTTTTACTCAAGCAATTT